TTTAAACTTAACTCATCCTTTGTTATTCATTTATTTACCTAATGTTTATTGAGTACCTATTACGTGCCTGTATGCCAAACATTATGCATAGTGCTCAGCCCAAAGTTACCTAAGATTCCACCATTAGTGCTATTCCTGGTTGTTTAAGACGTATAAATATGTGCGTTAAAGCACCTGCAAGCAGGCTCAGGGGCCAAGGGTTGGATCTCTGGGCCCGCCATGCCAACCCCGCCCCCAGGGTGGGCTGAGACAGCAATTGAGACTGGGTGTGGTGGCACACACCTGCAATCCCAGCTCTTGGGTGGTTGTACACAGGTGGATCACTACGAGTCTGATCTAGTAGTGAGACCCTGAACACCCTGTAGACCCTTCCCTAAAATACAAATAAATAAATGAATAAATTAATTAATAAATAATAAAAAATCTAATGGAGGAACTATGAGGGCCACCAACTTTTATCCCAGTGAACGATTTAAGAGAGAAAGCAAAGCCAAGGCAGCATCTATTATCTGCCTGTAATTTCATGAAAGAAAAGACACTTCTCTTTAAATCTCAAAACACATAATTTTTATGTATTTGGTACAGGGTCTCACTGTGCATTGTTTTCAGTCTCCCCACTGCTGGGATTACAGGCGGGTGCCACCACACGCGGATTCAGTCATCAGCTCAGCGTGCCCGGGGGCAAGGCTGGCATGGCATCTGGTGCCAAGGATGATTCTTAAAACCAGATTCAAGGAGATGAACAAAATCTCAGGCCGCTGTCCTCCTTGCCTACTCATCACCTGGCCCAGGTGAAATTCATCCCCCTGGCACCACTCCTGATGACCAGATAGCCACAATGCTGTCCAGTGCCAATGTCCCATGTGACCTACTGCAGGCACACCAGAGTGGTCTCCAGGGAAGAGACACTGAACAGGGACCTCACCCACAGTGCTTCCCAGAGCCCCCTTTCCTTCTGCCCACTTCCCTTCTACCTTGAATCTGCTCCAGCAGTTTTCCCTTCAAACTCCACAAAAATGATTCCTTTCTGCTCTGGCTTGGATGTGGTTTCAGTCTGTCCCCCAGTGGTTCCTGTGTTGGGCTCACTTTGATCATGTGGCACCTTCAGTGGGGAGCATCATGGTTCTCACAGACCAGTTAGTTCTGACGTCCTGTGTCTCACACACACTCTCCAGGACGCCATTCCCTGTAAGTTGACATGGGGGTGGGGGGTGCTTGCTAGCGCTGGCACCATGCAGTTGGGACTTCATCCTTTAAAACAGTGAGCTAGGGCCTGTGAGATAGCTCAACAGTCTAAGTACCTTCCTGGCAAGTACAAGGACTCAGGTTCCATCCCTCATACTGCATGCTGTGCTGGCCCTAAAACCAAAGGTGGTGGCACAGGCCTTTAACCCCAGTGCTGGGGAGGCTGAGACAGAAGGATCACTACGAGTCTGAGCTGCATAGTGAAACCCTGTACCAAGTACATTTTTACAAGATTAAAAAAAAAAAAAAAATTAAGCTAAAGAACCCTTTCCTCTTTTTACGGACCACTACCACCACCGTTTTGGCAGTCCTGGAGATCCAACCCAGGAACCTCGAGCATGCTAGGTAGTGTTCACCATGGACCTGTGCTCGGCCCTCTCTTTCTTCCACTTTACCCCACCTGCCTCAGGCATTCTGTCAAGATGGAAGCAGTCGAAGCCACTCTCCTAACTCCGGTCTTCAGGCCTCTAGTCTGGAGGTCAGGATAACAGGAATCAGCGAGGAGCACTCGAGCTCCTCCCCGCACGGAAATGGAGTGACCCTTTTCACCCAGGGAGGACCTGTCCTGTTCTTCTCACATCCTCCGTCAAGCTTCTCTGCCACTGACAGTGCTCAGCAGTCTCCTCATGCAGGCCAACCCCAGGCACATTAGAGCTGCCTTATCAGGGGTCACGCCCTTCCTGGCATGGCCCACATCCAGTGACCCACGTGAAGGTAGAAAGGCTTAATCACTTTCGCCCAACAGGCCCTCTAGCTCCCAGTGACCAGGGGCTGGTGGCAGGGCCTGTGGCAAGCCCAGGGTCCTCCTTCTCTACCCTGCTTCCTTCCCTGTCTCCAGTGTTGGTCCGCATGGCATCTCCCTAATCCTGCCCATGGCCTCTGAATCAGAGTCTGCTTCCTGTGGTACTCAACCTGCACCATAGACTCCATCATCCTAGTAAGGCCATAGGCAGCCCTTGCCCCTTTAGTTACTGCCGGGCGAGGGCTTCCACACATGCCTTAGTGAGTGAACTGTCCAGTCTTGATGTGTCAATAAACAAATCTGGATTTTTCCCCCCTCTTAACAAAGATGCATTCAAGACTATTGTCTAGATGTAGATTTAGATGCTAGCTCACCAAAGCCCATCAAGCGGACTAGCAACTCCTCTATGTTGGGCCCCCCCCACTCCAAGCCCTTCCGAGGCTCAAGCCTTGTAGCACATAGTTGGAAAGCTGCAGGCGCATATGATTTAAGTGGGAAATAAAAACTCAGATTTAGTAGCTCAAAATGTAATCCCCATCACATACACAGTGGCAGTGGCAGGCCATTGGGTGGAACTGCTATTTTGGGCTTCTGGGACCAGTGACATGCTCTCTGTCATCCCAGCCCATGCTGTTTGCACCAAAGCTCAATAAATTCCAGCTGCCTGAGAACAAGAGGCCAGGACAGCGAAGAAGAGAGGAGGCTGTCTTGTGCTTACATTATTTTCAACATTTCACTCTGTACGCCCCAGGGCCAAGTGAGTGTGAGACAAAGCAAGCCTCAGAACTGATAGGACGCTACTGCTACTGATAAAGACATCAAGGAGACCAAAATCCAAACATACTTGGTGGCCTACCCTAGACAGGACAGATTCTGGTCTCATGGCTCGAGCCAGTTCTGTGTGGCCATCTCTGTGAGGGCCGGAGTCCCAGAGACCCCCAAGCACACAGTTCCACAGGAGGAACAGGCACCCTGGAGGCGTCAAGTCCCCAGGATGAGGGTTGGATCCCCAGACGCAGCCCGACAATGGGTACGACTTCTGCATTGGTTGTTGATGAACTGATCTAGGAATTCCCAATCAGGAGAGTCTACACAGAAGCTCCTTAATCTTCAGCACATGTTTAGGCTTCACGGTGTATGACTTGGTGATTTTATTTTGGATTCCAAGGGTGAAATAATCTTTTCAACACTAGAGACCTCCAAAGGTCCTTCCCATCTCTGCTAGAGAGGCAGGAGGCTGTAGGATGGAAAATAACGGGAGGAGGACAGGAAAGAGGTGATAGGGAGCCAGGGTTGGGAGACAGGAGAAATTCAGACTGTGCCAGGCAGAGCCTTGGGAGCCCCAGGGCCACACAGCTGGGCTGGCTGTGAGAAGCAGGCCTGCTGTCCTTCGGTAATGGATATGCCCTGCCCTTCTGGGCCTGCTCCACAGGTGTGCATCAGTGCACGAGTGTGTGTGAGCTCACACCACAGGTCAGTCACACACATAAGGTTACTTGGAAACATTGTCACCACTTCCCTGGACGCCTAGGACTCATGCACACGACAACAAAAAGTATCTCTGGGCACACCCGCAGCACCCCTCAAGTCTTAATCTCCAGCCATCCTGGGGGGTCCCAGAAGCCACAGGGAGCCCTGGCTTTGTCCTAAGACAGTGGTTCTCAAAGTGGGGTTCCGGGGTCAGCAGTATCAAGGTCACCCAGGAACTGGTTCGAAGTGCTTTGGGTTCTATCTTCTCCCTTTGATAGAACCCTGAACTGCTCATGGGGCTCTCTTGGGGCTATAAATTTATGTCATGCATTTTATGTGCCATTTCTTAAACTGAATATACTTTTACACACATTATCTCATATAAAACTCACAAATACACTATGAGAAGTACACTGTTTGCCTCCTATTCCTTTCTGATGGGGTAGCTGGTTCCCTAGCTAACCCTAGAACCACTACTCCACCCCAGCTGTCCTAGAACCCAGCCCTCTGTGCTGTTGGTGTGGGAAAGGTCCCTCTCATCTGACTGCACCCCCACCACTGAAAGCCCCTTAAGACTTCCTGAATGGGGGCCGGGGAGATGGCTCAGTGGAATAAGCCTTGCCTGGCAAGTGCAAGAGCCTGAGTTCAATCCCCAGTTCCGCAAAAAGAGAGAGAGAGAGAGAGAGAGAGAGAGAGAGAGAGAGAGAGAGAGAGAGACTCCCTGAATGTCCCACTAACTCATTCTCCTGAGAAAGACTGAGAAATTTGCCCCAGGTGACCAGCTGCTTTCGATGCAGCTCCTGGCCTGGCCCGAATGTAAACACTGCCGAGACTGCGCCCTCCTTGTGCCACCCCCACATCTGCACCCCGTGCCAACTTCCCTGCTGTATCTCCTTGCCGTGCAGCCAGCCCTAAATCTCCCAAGACAAAACCTAACAGCGGGTGGGACGAGGGCGGGAGAGCAGCCCCACCCGGGAGCTGGCAGCCCCTCTGCCAAGCTCTCCCTGCCTGTGCCACTGAAGAGCTGCTTAGAGGCAGCAGCACGGGGCCAGCAGCTCTGCACCCCAAAGCCTCAAGACAGCCCAGTCCCAGTTGGCCTGTGGCAGAGTCCTCTGCACGCGCCTCTGTGTGAGATGCTTCCTGAGTAGCATAAGGGAGATGTGGGTTCGAACTGCGACTTCCCGCCTGCGTCCTGAGGGATCTCAGCTGACCACATCCCCTTTCGGGCTTTCCGTGCTGCATCTCTTCGGTGAAGAGGTTGGGCTGATTTATGAGGAGGTCTCCTGCTCTGACACTGTGATTTGGATACTAGATTTCCAAGTGACTTTCCAGAGTTCTGGCCGGGATGCAAGAATCTGACAGGACAATGGCTTTGGACCAGGCTCTCCGCTCGGCCCAGCTCATCTTTGCTTGAGACGTAGGTGCGGCCCAGCTGGACAGGCCTCGCTTTGATCTGTCCCTCTCTCCACCCCCTCGCTCCGCATACTCAGAGGATTTCTCCTCCATAGCAAAGCCGGGAGTAGTGCTGGGTCCAGAAGCAGCCATGGGAGCCTGTGTCATTGTGACTGACACCAATACCTCATTTGGTCTTCAGAGTAACAGCACAGGCATCACAGCCTTCTCCATGCCCAGCTGGCAGCTCGCGCTGTGGGCCACAGCCTACCTGGGCCTGGTGCTGGTGGCTGTGATGGGCAATGCCACAGTCACCTGGATTATCCTGGCCCACCAGAGGATGCGCACGGTCACCAACTACTTCATCGTCAACCTTGCCCTGGCCGACCTATGCATGGCTACTTTCAATGCTGCCTTCAACTTTGTCTACGCCAGTCACAACATCTGGTACTTCGGCCGCGCCTTCTGCTACTTCCAGAACCTCTTCCCCATCACGGCCATGTTCGTCAGCATCTACTCCATGATGGCTATCGCAATTGACAGGCAAGAGGGGACAACGGGAAAGCTGGGGGTGAGCACTTTCCCGGGGCTCAGAGGGAATGGTGCCTGAGCAGTACTCACGCAGCAAGCTAGGGGACAATGTAGGCACTGCCTCCCAAACCTGGCCAGGATTCAGACCCGTGAATCTTGAAGTCAGGGACTGCAGGGCCAAAGCAGGCAAGCTCAAGCGTAGAGCCAGGAAGGCCTTGGCACTGGATGGCTGCAGGGGACAAGTGAGTGGTGTCGTGGGAATCTCTGGCATGCTCTTTGCTGAAACTGACCTTTGTCTGGTGTCCTTCTGTCACTACAAGGAAACTGTGCATGCTGTTTTACTGCTCCAAATATATTATAGGAAAATTTGGTGAGTGTATGGTTTGCTTCTAAGTGTAACAGAGCCAGGCATCTACCGGATGCTGCTCTTTGGGTGGCAGAGTGTGACCTTCCAAGGAGGGGGCACAGAGCAGGGGTATGGAGGGATTAGAGGGGGCTTTTGAAAGCCATTTGGGAAGAGAAGGGGTGGTGATGTTTAGGGGGTATAGCACAGACTGGCAGAAACAGGACGGGAGGTGGGAAAGGTGCAGCGTGTGGGGGCCAGGGAGAAGCCTGCGACCCTCAGAGAGTCCTCGTCGAGATGAGATGTGAAGCCCCCCCACATCCCCAGTAGCTGTCATCACTCATAGCTGTTCACTGCTCAGCAAGGGCTCTCCTACTCTACAGTGTCCCCTGGGATTTCATTTGGAAACATTTTGTCCCCTAGTTAAAAATGGGAAGTTTGTACACCATTCATTTAAGCCTAACTTCTAACTTTACACCCAGGGAAACTGAGGCTAGAGGTTAGCAGATCACCTGATGCCACGGTCAGGGGCAGAGGCAGGGGCCCAGAACCTAGCCCTCTGGGGTGTTGGGCAGGAGGAGTAACCTCATCATGTCACTGTACCTCAACACTGTCAGAGATAACCTAACACCCACATCCCCTGGGTTTGGGGAGGCGTTGTAGGTATGTTTTTGCAGTAATGGAGTTTTGTTGTTGTTGTTGTTGTTGTTTTATTTTGATAAGAGGTCTCACTATATTGATTAAGGCTAGCCCTGAACTCATTGTATAACCCCAGGCTAGCCTGGAATTCACAGCGATCCTCCTGCCTCTGCCTCCTATATGCTGGGGTTACATGTATGTGCCACCATGCCTGGCTGCAGGAATAGGAACTCAATCCAGGTTCTTTCATTTTCTAGGCAAATTCTCCACCACCCAGCTACATCCCAGCACACCCCACCCCTGTCATTTTTCTGAATATCTCAGTAAGATTTTTTTTCTTTCATGGAACAAGTATTTGAATGATCTGTCTGTGTCAGGCCCAGTTCCAGGCACTGGGGGTGGGGCAATACCTTGGAAAAGAGCAACCCCAAATCGCCTGCCTTCCAGGTCTCCAATCTAAAGAGTGAAGTCAGTTATAGAAGGTCAGGTGGGAGCCAGAGGACCAGACAGGAGAGATGAATAGTCCAGAAGAGGGTGGTAACTCAGATCAGCTGTGAACAGTGGAGACTCGCCCATTTATTTCTGCATTTCTTCATCTGTTTATCCATTCAACAAATGTGTCCAGGTCCTGCTTTGTACAGCTGGGCACAACAGGGACAGGTCAATAAATGTGACCTCTCTGGTGGGCATTAAAATCATAAGTACATGGGCTGGTGAGATGGCTCAGTGGTCTAAAGCACCTACTTAGAACAAGCTTAGCAAAGCACAGGGACCGCGGTTCAATCCCCCAGCACCACATGCCAGCCAGCCCCCCCCCCTGGTGGGCTGAGCTGGCCACACACACACACACAAAATAAATAATAAAAAAATAAAATAAAACATGTTTAAAAAAAAGAAAATAAAATCATAAGTACATGAATAAATAAATTCTGTGTTCTATTTGAGGCCATAAGTGCTATGAAAAAAACAGCAGGCCAGGTATGGTGGCACATGTGGCAGGAGAATCACCAGGAGTTCAAGGCCAGCCTGGGCTATGTAGTGAGTTGAATACCAGCTTGAATCATGTGGTGAGAGCCTATCTCAGACAACCATTTAAAAAACAAAGTGAGAGGACAGGGGACCCCAGTGCCAGCCAGCTTGTCTTGTCGGATAAGTGTCAGGATGGGTCTCATTGTGAGATCAGGCTGTAAGCAAAGATGGGAACACAGGCGTGGATGAGCCCCAGGCCTCGACAGACACTGCAGGCAGCAGGCGAGATGGAAATGCTTGCCGGGCAGAGTCAGCAGCCACGTAATATCCAAGACTCCGCAGGGGCCGCTAAAAATGCAAAGCCACATTCCTAGCTTTGTCCCATGGCCCAGATGAATCCAGGAAGGAAGGTCATCTGGGCCAGAAGCCATTTCTGGTGATGAAAAGGAAGTGAATAAATAGGAACCATGACGCCCACTAGTCCCCAGCGCCAGCTGCCTGTGTGCACCTCTAGAGCGCTTGCCTCCTTCACCAACAGCCCTAGGATGAGAACTCCTAGGACGGGGTCCCAGAGGCAGAAGTAGAAGTCCAAAAAGCTAAGCCTGCTCTAGGTCTTGCTTCCAGAAAGCACTGGAGCAAGGAGTCAGGAGGATCCACAGTTCCAGTACCTGCCTCGGTACTGATAGGGTGGACACTCTATCCTCCTTCGCACCCACATCCCAGAACAGCAGGGACCCTGGGTCCCCAAGTGACCCTCATCTCCTCTGACCCTGCAGCATTTCATAAGGTCCAGGAGGACAACAGTGTCACAGGGAATGTGGGGAGAAGAGTCCCAGTCTTGTGGCCCAGATGTCCCTAACCTGTGGCCGTGGATCATGGGGAGGAACCAGAGAGCACGGAGGGACAAGAAAGCCACAGTTCTTTGGGCAGGGATACAGCACATTGGCACAAGGGCCTGCCTGGCAAGCCAAGGTCCTGAGTTTGATTCTTGGCACCAAAAAGAATAGGAAGGAGGAGGAGGAGGAGGAAGAGGAGGAGGAGGAGGAGGAGAACAAGGTGGAGAAGGAGAAGGAGGAGAAGAAAAGAAAGTCACAGTTCCAAATGTACACAGCAAAGCAGTTGGCCATGATGCAAGCAGTGCCTAGGGCTTTAGTACCAATAAAAATCACAGATACCTGTGTTGTTGTAGGAATTGAGATCTGGACACACACTGCTGTGGCGGTACACACATATAATGCCAGCACTCGGGAAGCTGAGGCAGGAAGGTCAAAAATTTGAGGCTAGCCTGGGCAACTTAGGGAGACCGTCTCAAAATAAAGCAGCTGAAGATGTAGCTAGGTGGTAGAGCACTCACGTAGCATGGGCAAGGCCCAGGTTCAAGGCCTCGAGTACCCCTCCCCGGCCAAGATCTCAGCATATCACCTGTGCTCTCCCCTACTTCAAAATTACCGTAGGTAGGGCCGGCCTGATAGTTCAGTGGATTAAGGCAACTGGTTAGGCACAGTGTAGTGGCCGGGTTCAATCCCATGACCTGCCATGCTGGCCCCACCCCAGGGGCACATGCATGGAGACAGTGACTGACACTGGGTATGGTGGCACTTGCCTGTAATCCCAGCACTTGGGAGGTTGAAAACAGGAGAGTCACTTCGAGTTTGATCTATGTAGTGAGACCCTGTAGATCCGGTCCTAAATACAGAAAAAGAAAAAAAAAATTACTGCAAGTTCCACTGTGCTAGGTCTTGTGTTGCAGGCTGATAATAAAGCACAGACATTACGATGTCCCAAGTTTATTTTATATTTTGCTGGCCATATTTTGTGCAAATCATGTTCTTCAGGTGGGCCCTTTGCACACAGGAGCCTTTGGGTCTTTTGCTCTTTCAGAAGCAAGCCAGGCCTCTAGACACCCGGGGCCACAGCCACACAGGCCCCAGACAGTGCCCAGGCCCAGGCCTATGGGCCGCGAGGGTCCTGAAAGCCAGGGCAGCCGCCAAGGCCAGGAGGGTTCGAAGCCAGCCTGTGCCTTCCCAGCCTGTGTCTCCTGGTGTGGCAGATGGACACAATAGTCCCTGCCTCGGACTGCTGGGCCCAGCGCTGCCCAAGGGCGGCTCACATCCCCACATCCGCAGAGACGGGAGAGCAAGATGGATCTGTTGTGGCTGATTTCACTGGGAGAGGAGGTCTCATGTGGACTCTGATCAACACAGAAAGGAGAGGAGCTCCAGGCCAAGGGGGGCAGCACCATGCAGTGGGGAGGGCCATTCCAGGCTATTCCCTGAGCACAGGGAGCCTGGGAAGGCAGGGGAAACAGTGACAGAGGCTACAAAGTGCACTGGTCCCACACAGAGGGCCTTGAATGCTGAATCCAAAGCTCTGGGCCTGTGCTGCCCAGTGTGTGCCTATTTAAATTTGCACTGATTGCGATGTAAAGCCATGCTCCCGGGACTCTGCTCTGCATCATTAGTACTGAACAGGCTGACATGTGCGTAGGAAAATTCCCACCACTGCAGAGAGCTTTGGTGGGCAGGGAAGCCCTGGTCCAGGCTTTGTTCAGGACACAGAAAAACAGTGGCAAGACTTCTGAGGAAGGAGGCCTGGCATAGGGCAGGATTCAGACCAGGCTGAGCTGCAGGCTGATGCCACCCAGGCCTGTCCAGGACTGGTATTCAGTGAGGACACATAACTATTAGGCATTCCATACCCAGGGCCCAGAAGGCTGGGTTCTAGGGCCCTAGGGTGTGGCGTGACCAGGGAGGATCACCAGCTACTTGGCTCTCCACAGGTCAGTTGCCACTCCAGACGCTGGCAGCAGCAATGTGGAAAGGAGCCAGGGTGTGGCCAGGGAGGGCAAAGAGAGGGCAGCCAGATAGGAGGACATTCACCCCTCACACTGAGCTCTGCCTGCAGGTACATGGCCATTGTCCAGCCTTTCCAGCCGCGGCTCTCGGCCCGCAGCACCACGGCGGTGATCGGCGGCATCTGGCTGGTAGCCCTGGCCCTTGCCTTTCCCCAGTGCTTCTACTCCGCCATCACCGAGGACGAGGGCGCCACCAAGTGCGTGGTGGCCTGGCCGGAAGACACTGGGGGCAAGTCACTGCTCCTGTAAGGTCTGGGAGCTGGGGGTGCATGTGCTCACGTGTGCATGCTTTAGTGAGTACGTGTGTGCAGTGCTCACGGGGTGCATTATTACACAAGCACACATTTCTGCTGCAGCTCCTCAGCTAACTCCAGGGTCACACCTGGATACCGCCATCAGATCAGACAGCCTGTGAAAGCGTCCAAATGCAAAACTCTTCAGAGTGCCCTTTCTACCGAGTACATGTTGCTTCTGCATTTTCATAGTCAAAAAATCATGAACCAGGACATTGTACGTTTGGAACCATCAATGCTAAGAGTGACACTAAGTGACATTAAGTGACACTAAGTGTACAGTGGCTAAACACTGTACACGTATGAACCCATTTCATCCTAACGCTACCCAGCATATATTATTATGATGATCCCATTTGGGAATGGGGAAACTGAGGCACTGAAAAATTAAGAATTGTGCCTGCAGCTCGGAAGTGGCAAAGCAAGGGCTCATGGCAGGCAGTCCCGCTGCCAAGCCAACCTCTGGGCCACTCAGGGTAGCACAGGCCTCCCAACCACACTTGAGTGCTATACCCACTCACATCTGTGTGTAGGCATGCTGTGGCTGTGTGCGCATGTTAGCGGATGTGTGTGTAGGAGGGCTCTGTGTAAGCTTAGCCCACAAAGGGTCAGGAGATCCCAGTACAAAGGAGAGGGCACAGAGCCTGGGTCTGCTTCCTGCTGGGGTGGGCACCATAGGCTGGGAGGGAGCGGAAGGAGAACTCAACCAGGCCCAGCTGCTGTATGACCCAGCTGTGTCCTTTATCCATCTAGGGCCTGTTTCTGAGGCTCTCACAGTCCAGCGTTGGATCCCCAAATAGTGCTCCCTTGATTAATGGAGAATAAAGAGTTGACTAAGACAAGGCCTGGTGGCACATGACTATAACTCCAGCACTCTGGGAGGCTGAAGCAGGAGGATCACCAGTTCAATCCCACCTGGAAAATTTAGCAACCTAGCAAAATCCTATATCAAAAATAAAAAACAAAAAGGGCTGGAAATGTATCTGAGTATAAAGGCTCTGAGTTCAACCCTTGCTGCTGGAAGAAAAAAGAATCAGCTGAGGTTTTGCAGTCAGCAGCCGGCCCATATTTTAGCTCCTCTCTCTCAGCTAGAGAGACTTATAGCCAGTCTCTCTGAGCCTTGGGCTCCTTCTCTCCAAAAATGGGAATTAGTTTATGTATATGAGTTCATGTACATGAAGCCCCTTGTCTGTGCCCTGCACAGAACCAATGCCCAGTGTGCAGAGGGGACAAGGAAGACAAACCCAGAAATGCCATTTTTTTTTTTTTTTTTTACTCCAACAAGATCCCACCTGCCCCAGCCCTGAGGATATGCATGATCTTAGCCAGTGACTTCCAGGTAACTATGACAACACCACCCTAGTTGGTATGCTTTCCCCAGCAGGCACCCCTACCTGGCCAGTGGACCCAAACACTGCTGCACTGCAGGGAAGGGATACTGTTGTGCTCTGTGCTGGGGAAATGGCCATCTGTGGGGAGCAGCCTACTCCAGGGAATGACAAGTTCTGATGACAGACCCTGCCCAGGGTCCCTGCTTTCACTCGGCCTCCAGGCTGTGGTCCGGAGAAGGAAAAGAACCTTTTCTGGCTCAGAGCCAGGTAGTGAGCAGAATATTTTGGACCTGGCCCCTGGATGGTGGGGAAACAGTGTTTCTCCACCTCTGTAGGGGCTTTCTCCCTGGGAAGAAGCACTTAGGATACCCAGGACCCAACCTCTGGGGTTGAATTGCAACTCTGACTCAGGCAACAGGGAAAACAAGGGGCCAAGGGGCCAAGGGGCTGGGAAGATGGTTCAGTAGAATAAGCATTTCCCTGGCAAGCGCAAGAGCCTGAGTTCAATCCCTAGTTCAGAAAAAAAAAAAAAAAAAAAAAGACTATTACAGTAGAATGGAAAACAAAGGGCCAGGGTGGGCTAGGAAAGCCATTCTGGGAAGAGAATTAGGAAATGACAGACACCCCCTCCAGGAAAATACATATTTATCCCTCCAAATCAAAATACAAAAGGCACAGTGGCACTTGAGGAGAGGCCTCCCTGCCTGGCAGATTCTCGAGAGTGGTCCTCAACACTCCCCAGCTATCCCTTCTGTGTAGACGCCAGGCCAGGGTGAATTCCCTGCCCGCAGTGTCCCCAGGAAAGAATAAAGTGCTGCTCACCCTTGGAAAGAGTTGAGATTACCTCCTTATTTTATAGATGGGGAAACTGAGGCTGAGAGAGAAACCCGACTTGCCCACCATCACTCTTTCAATTAGAGGCTGGACAAGCCCCCATTCTGCTGAAAGGGAGATAGTTTGGGTCTTAAGTGTGGAAAGTTGTTTCCTAAGCGCAGACTTCCTGCCTCTTTCTGGGCCTCAGCCCCTATCCTGGACACTGAGGTGAGTGACCTGGTTTACTTTTGAGGTCTTTCTAGCTCAGTTCCCTTTCTCCTTCCCCTTCTTCTTTTGACAAGGTTTTGCTCAATTCCTAACTTTCCTAGGCTGGGCTTGAACTTGAACTTGACGATCCTCCTGCCTCAGCTTCCCTGCTAGCTGGAATTCTAGGCATAGGCCACCACGCTCATGTGCTGTTCATTTATTTTTCTTTAAACCAAACCAAGACCTCTGAAGGGGGCTGGGGGTGGGTCTCCTGGGTAGAAGTTGCAGGGAGCGGCTCCCAGCTCAGATGTGGGAGTCGTCCCTGGAGCGCGCTGCCCAGGCCCCCCGGCTGTCTCCCCAGGTACCACCTAGTAGTGATCGTCCTCATCTACCTCCTGCCGCTCACTGTGATGTTCGTAGCCTACAGCATCATTGGCCTCACGCTGTGGCGGCGCGCAGTCCCCAGACACCAGGCGCACGGCGCCAACCTGCGCCACCTGCAGGCCAAGAAGAAGGTGACGCCAGGGGCAGGGCCGGGCGAAATGAGGGCGGGGATGAAAGGGGCGGGGACCGGGGGCGGGGCGGAGCCCCGGGAACAAGCCGGGGGCGGGGCCTGGTCGTCACTAGCCGGGGGCGGGGCCCGACCGGGGGCGGAGCGGAGCAAGCGCGCAAGAAGGGCCCTGGGAGCTGGGAACCTACCTGTAGTTTGCCCCTGTGCCAAGCCCGCGCCCCAGAACCTGAATTCTTTCCTCTCCAGCAGGTGGATCGACTTTGGCTTTGTGGCAAATGTAAAGTTAAAGTATCTTAGAATGGCAGAATCCTAAAATAGTACAATTTTGAGTAATTGGAATGTTAAATTTTAGAAGCCCCTTAGAAGTGCCTACAGGAGTTCACCTGAGTGGAACCTCAGAACATCCCCAAAGGCTGGAATGACGGACCTTTGCGATCTGGAGACTGGTTTACAGTCTGGTTTCTTCAAGTCTATCCCCGAGTTCTGTGGGACATGCAAATACTCCACCCCACCCCCGCATCATCCAGGCCCCTAAAGGGTGTTGTTTATAGCATTCTAAGACTCAGACCTCCTCTACTCTTCCCCTAAAAAGGCTGCACCCCTTTTGTGCTAGGCAAGAGGAGGAGACATAGCGTGCAGCCAGGTCAAAGTCATGGCTTCTCCCAATAGTAGGAGATTTTACAGGATTGTTCAGGGAGGCCAGTGGGCATCAGATCCCTTCAGGGTGTCCCTCCTGGCGCTCCTCCCATTTGTCATTCGAGCTTGCCTTCCATCCCTCCCAGGGCGCTGGACAGTACAGGCTGTGTCTGTAGAGGCCTGGCAGTAGGTTAAAGGTTAGGGACTTGACCCCTATGGGGAGGCTCGGGTCAAGTTGAACCTCAGTGTCCATTGATGGAAGGACTATCGCAGATACAAATCCAGCCAGGGTGTAGCCTAGGACCCCATGGCTGAGACAGGAGGCCCACAGGGCAGGGTCAGGCATGAGAGCTTATCCACTCTGCAGGGAGGAGAGCTGTTCTGAGGAAAGGGATCTGGGGAGAGGCGGCCACTCAGCCCAGCTCCTAGGAGTAAGAGTTTCAAGGAAGGACAGTGGTGTGGGCAGAGGGCTGGACCTGTGACAGGACTGGGCAGGGGGCTCAGAATGTGAGGGCAGCAGATGTGGGGCTTGGCCTCAGGGGCTGAGGTGTGACCGGAGACTCTCCTGGAGCAGTTTGTGAAGACCATGGTGCTGGTGGTGGTGACATTTGCTGTCTGCTGGCTGCCCTACCACCTCTACTTCATCCTGGGCAGCTTCCAGGAGGACATTTACTGCCACAAGTTCATCCAGCAGGTCTACCTAGCGCTCTTCTGGTTGGCCATGAGCTCTACCATGTACAACCCCATCATCTACTGCTGCCTAAACCGAAGGTGAGCCCAGCCCGGCTCCTCTGGCTCTCCGTACCCATAGACAGGACCCACAGGAGCTCCCGCTGGCTCATGTCCCAGCTGTCTCTTCTGGGGTCTGCATCTGGGACAGGGAGAAGAAGGCAGGAAAGATAGATGGAGGGAAGGGCGGGAGTATAGAGCAACCAGCAGAAGAGCAGAGTGGGAGGAAAAAGAATGTAGGGGGTTGGCTGCTCTATCCTGATGTTTTTAAGCTTCCTCCTGAGGACTTGCTCGGGTCAGGTGATCAGCTGCGGCTGCTTGGCACAGGAAGCACTCCAGGAGGCAGGATGGGGGCTCCCAGTGCATTTCCTCCCCTCCAGCATGGCTGGGAAGTGACCTCAGTAGAGAGGCCTGGGAGTGGGGACCAGGGCCTTTCTTGCAGCTTGGCGTTCCTAGGCAAGTGGAGCCTGCAGTCTGAGGGCATTTGGCATCTGCTTTGGGGCCTTCGAGGGGGGCAGCTGGTGAGCGAGGCAAGAGTCTCAGCCTGGGGAACCCCACAGGTGGGATGAGTAAGAGGGGGACAAGGCACGTCTGAGACTTGGCCAAGCAAGACTGCTCAGGTGCCTGGGCCACTCATAATGCCACTGCGGCCTGGTGCTCAGATACCACACTCAGCTGAGGCAGGCGGGCAGGAAGGGAGCATAAGAACTGATTCTTGGAGAGCTTCCTGGAGCCCCAACCCACTAGAAAGCCTTTGGGTAGCCGCAGGCACAGCGGAGGAAACAGCCTGAGAGAGTACTCTCCTGGACAGAGCCAGGAATCTATACACAGCATCCCCCACGTCTGTCCGCCTGTCTCCCTGTCCCCAATACAATTACTCATGAGACTGAGGGAGTGAGAGTGAGGGGTGGGGTGGTCCCTCAGGGAGGGGCCACCTGTACACCCCAGTACCCACCACCCAGCCCCCCGAGAGCGTAAGCAACACCAACACCCCTGGGCTCTGCACAGTCCTGCAGTCACCTCTGAATCATTTGCTTGTGATGACACCTGTGATCACAGACGTCTAGGGCTGTGGCAGGACTCTGCACTCATTCAGGAGAAGGGTGTATGCCTGGCCCACCAGTGAGCAAAAAAGACTCTTCAGGGAGCTGCCCCCGTGGGAGGGGGGAGGATAATAAACGCAGAGCAAGTGGATCCCAAGGTGTGCTAAGCAATAGTACCATGGAGACAGAAAAACTGGAGGAGGTAGGGGGTGACAGGAAGTGCTGAGAGTCTGCCATAGCGGGCAAAGGGGCAAAGCTTTATATTTGAGCAAAGACACCAGTGACTGAGTCAGCCTCATGGACTGGGCAGGAGTTCCAAGCTGAGGGAAAAGGTGAGGGACCAGCCAAGTGACAGCCATGTGGTCAGAGTAAGGATGTGGGCTCTGAGCAGGGAGACACAAGCTCTGATAGGACATAGGGAGAGGCCCAGTGAAGGACTCCGGGATAAATGGTTTCCATTCTCTGGGATGCAGTTGGGGTGTGGACGTGGCTAAAGCTTTGGCAACCACATCTGACAGATGAGGCAGCAGGGGCAAGCAGTAGGGGTGACTCCAGGGCCCCTGGGCTGGGTGGTGTGAAGGATGGCACTGTCAGGAGCTGAGGCTTGGAGGGTGGTTACAAGCTTGGGTGGGAGCGCATGGATATGGGAAAGAGGCCACCTGCAGCTCCAGATAGGCTCTGAGTCTATACTGGGGAGTCCTGCAGAGCCATTGGACAGGTGGCTCTTCTGGAACATGGAACCCTGCAGCCCAGATGGTGACGGCGCAGTTCCGCCCTGTCCCGACTCAGCTCTCGGGTCTCATCATTCTTGCCCCTCTGCCCGTCCCTGAGCAGCCCATCTTCTCATGCCAATCCCTTCCTTCCTCTCACAGTCTCTTCCTCTTCACTCCAGCCAACACCCAGATCTTCTGTGCTCCACGGGGGAGAGCTTATTTTTAAGCAAATGTAGCCAAACTTGAGCAGTCCCTTGGGAGAGCTGCTCTTACCCCCATTTTTTTTTTAAACAGACTCCCCTTTGAATACTCTAGAAGCCAGCTAACTAGTCAAACAAGAAAAATCTGCTATCCCTTTGTAACTCTAGGTGGGTTCTTTTTGTTTGTAGTAACAAATAGCCCAGGTCAGCTCAGTCACCCCCTTCAGTCACAGATGAAACTAGGATGCTTCTGGCTGTTTCCAGAAACCCAATCCATGAAGCAGTGCTTCTCTCAGAGGCAATGGTGGCTCTTGGGAGCAGGCAGCTGCTTTCCTCTGGAGGGGAGATGGTGTCTAAAGCTGAGTGACCACACCACAGTCCCTGTACCACTAATCCCTGCTTCTGGGTGACCCTTCCTCCCCCAGGTTTCGATCTGGATTCCGGCTGGCTTTCCGGTGTTGCCCATGGGTCACACCCACCGAGGAAGACAAGCTAGAGCTGACTCACACTCCATCCTTCTCCTTGAGAGTCAACAGGTGTCACACCAAAGAGATTTTGTTCATGGCTGGGGACATGGTTCCCTCTGAGGCTACCAACGGGCAGGCTGGGGGTCCCCAAGATGGGGAATCTGTAGAGCTCTCAAGTCTTGTGCCTGGCTGCAGGGAGGGGCCCATCATCCGAGGAGAATCAGCCCGTTGAGGACCAGATCGGAAAGCTTGGCCTTTAATCCTCCATGAGAACACTTGACACAAGAACCAAGAGGACTCAGCCATCCATCTAAGGATTCTAGGGATCCAAAGATGGTCAAAGACACTGTGAAGCCAGGACTTTCCCAGCTCAGAAGCCCTAAGCTCCAGGGTCTTCCTGGGCATACAATGTAGAGTGAATTTGATTCAGTTGAAAATCAGCAAACATGATAAAAAGCAACAGACTTCCAGCCTCCATGATGGGGTGACAGGGAAAGGTAGCTACTGAGAGGCCCTCAGAGGAGACTGCAGCCGCTAGTACGGCACCACTGTGGTAATATACAGTATGTGTTGTTCGGTAACGAGAACCCACTGTTCAAGAAAAGCTGGAAGTCCAGCTTTGCATGTGTAGGCCTCAGACTTGCTAATTTTGGTTCACAAAAATGTCTGTGGGCAGCATACAGTCATGACAGTGACTCATTAGGAGGCCACACAAGAGCCACCTTACTTGGCAAAGCCCACCTGCTACTAGTGCAACTGGGCTTTCTCTGCCTCAGAATCTAAGAGGCCAGACGCCACCCTGAGCAGATGGGGATGAAACTCAAAGGAAACCCCAACTAGGCCTTGGACAGGTCATTCTGACCATCAGCTTATTCTGCCCAGTGACAAAACTTACCCCTCGGGGCTGCTCTAAGGATCAGTGGAACTGATGCCTATAGACCAGCAGGGCACACAGACTGCATCCAATAAAGCACAGCCACACTTCCCTCTGCTCTGCCAGCCCGAGACCCAGTGCCCACCTCCCTTTAGCAGCAAGAGCAGCCCCAGCTCCCATGAGGCTCCGAGAATGGCCCAGTGCCCACACACATCCAGGGCCCTTCCAGAACCATGTGCCACTGTAGATGAACACCCAAAGGTCACTGTCATATGTTCTCCCCAGAGGTCACTGTGCTAGATGTTGGCACTCCTGGTGCCCCCAATAAAGACTCTGTGCCTGCCAAGCTGAGTGGGGATAGTCACTGCTGGGGGAGCCGCTTAGGTCTGCCACTGTGCTGGGACACTTCCGGACACCTGGGTGCAGTGACATGAAAGCCACTAAGGGGCTCTGGGGGAACAGCAGCCTTGGGCTGGACTGGCCCAATGGGAGGTGTGAGAGGTTTAGACGGACTGTAGAAGACAGAAGACCTCTCCTCCTTCTGGCTTTTCATTCTGGGTCCTCGGGTGAGGACTGCAGGAAGCGGCAGAGGAGGGGCTAGATCCAGTGAGTGGGCTTCTGGGGCATTCTACAGGGACAGTATAAAGAAGTCCTCATGCTCAACCAAGGCTGGGGGCTGAAGGCCATAATCTTTATTTTGAACTCTCCCCCGCCCACAGAAATCCCCAGCTTCTGGTTTTTGCTTTACCCCAAGATCTCCCCTCCACAGCCAGGACGCGTCACTACGGTTCTTGAATCAGTACAAAGTTTACTAGGTCATACAACATGGCTCACAAAAGCGATGGGAATTCCAGTGACGCGGTGTTGTGGGGTGGTTCCTTTTACCCAAATGGAGACAAGATATGTTCCCGCAGGACTGCCCACCTCCCAACACAAGACACACAGACTGTGAGACTCTCACAACGTGGCATGTACTGGCTCCATGGACACATGGTTTAGTGGCACTGACCCACCCTGACAGGATGCCAGGCCAAGGTGGGTGCTGGCACAGGAGGAAGCCAGGATGCCATGTCCACACTCGCCCCATGGGCCATGGCCCAAGAGCGGAGTCCGGCAGTGTCTGCTGGTGATAATACACTTCACCCAGGGGAGGCGACCCCAAGGCCGGGCTTTGGAGGACCTGAGGGCCTATCTGGTGGTGTGACTTTCATCTGCGCCAACAGACAACCCGGCTGATGGTCACCGGTGGTAGAAATGGATGTTGCGACACTTCACAGGTGGGGAATGCACAACCGGGCTGAAATCAAATCATGCAGAGTGGCAGGGCAGGTGAGGGGTCCAGGTGAGAGATTATCAACAGCACACGCTCTATGTGGAACCCTACATTATACACCATTAGTTGGATTCTTTTTCCTTCCTGCTGCAGTGTGGCGGGCTCTGGCGCTGGGGATGTCCCCCGCATGGCTCGCTGGAAGGAACAGGGGCTGTCACTTTTGGAGAGAGGTGCTGGAAGGGTGGTGGGCTAGGGGTCCTGCACTCTTAGCTGCTCATTTCTCCTCGGAGCCGAACACCCACAGCTGTGATGAGGGCAGCCCCCTTGCCACTGCCATCTTCAGACAGGAGGAAGGACACATTACACTTTGGTGACAGTTCCTTCACGGTTTGGTGCATGATTTTGGAGAAGCTGGGGGAAAAAAACAAAACAAAACAAAACAGAAGGTTGATGTAGGGAGCTAGGAAGCTAAGAGGCAAAGCCAGGCCTGCCTGAAAACTCCCAAGCTCCATGGCCAATCCTGTCCCAACAGCTTCTGGGAGGGAAGCCTGACCTAGGGCCCCAAAGATAAGCTGCACTGCATAACTTCTGAGGTGAGGCTCAGACACCTCCACCTCAGCACCCGGGGCTGGCAGACCTGAAACCAGTAAGGAAGCTGGGGCCAGTACAGGGATACTGAGGCAGACCCAAGGTGGCCAAGCACTGGGCAGATTCAGGAGGCAACAGGGGAATGGACATTGCCCATCCCAGCTGCAGCCGAGACCCCACCCAGCACTGCCCATAGCCTGGGGCCCGCACCTGCAGCGGCAAGGGAGCCCCCCAGTCAGGGGTCATCTCTAAGTCAGAGGTGCTCTGGATTCCTGCCCTTGGAAAGGATAGGGCCAGGCTGGGGCTCTCAGCAGTCAGAGCCACCCCATACTGAACACTGGCCAGGTGCCCCCTACTTACTATACATCACTTCTAGTTCTGGCCAGAGCTGTTACCCCAGAGGCAGATGGCAGAGATTAGGTAAACACCTACAGCTGCTAAATAGATGGGGCCAGAACTGAACCTAAGAGTTCCTGGCTCCAAAGTCTAGCTCCACGTCAGGGACCTGTGCTGCCACTTATAAGGACAACTAAGGAGATGAAGAAGGATCGAGGATGAACATGCCTCCACACTGCCACAGGCGTGATGTGAGCTGGTAAGGTCTTCAAGGAGCTGTCGGCCCACTTTACCTGGGATGGTCCCAGTTTGCCTTGATCCCAGAATAACAATCAGTAGTATTTCTTTCTTGGCAAAACTACCCCCATTTAGACTGTGACATATCATCAAAGCTCAGGGACATGCAGTGAAGTCACCTGTGCTTTTCTGGCATGGGTGTCAGACTCTTGACCAAAGAGAGGCTGCTCCCTAGCCCTCTTTGCCTCAAGACCCAGGACTCTGCCCTTCTAAGCTGAGACAGGCAGATTTTGCACATGTCCCCCTCCTCTCTCCTTCACATCCTGTCCAAACTTATGAAGCGCAGCCTCTCTACCTAACTGTAGCTGTGAAATCCACACTATCCCCACCACCTGCCCCCAGCACCACCTACTATATAGAGAGGACCAGAAAAAGCAGGCAGGGTCTATGGTGCCATAGGGTGAGCCACCCAAGTGAATCCTTCTCTGCTCCCCAAGGACTCCAGAGAAACTCTAAGGCTGTTTGTTGTCCCAGACAGGCCCCAGTCCCTGCAGGAATTTCCCTAGGGCAACCACACCACCCAGCCCTAAACCCCCAAAGAACTCTCCAGCCCAGTAAGCCCACCCAACTGGAAGCCCTACTCACTGCGGATGGAGCTTGTACAGTGTCCCGTCCACCCCCACTGTCACGTTCAGATGGTTCAGCCCTCTGTTCTCCCGGATCTTGTCCACCACGGCAGCCATGCCCGCACCGCACAACTGTGCAGCCCTCCGGGACACCACGCCGCACACCATCTTCACGAGGATACTGTCGTCGCACGTGCTGTTTAGACCCAGCTGCTGCAGGATAGCCCGGACTTGGAGCAGTGCTAATCGGTCACTGTGGACAAAAGCCAGGGGCTGGGATGAAGTGGCGCCCACCCCAAAGGTCTGGCCTTGTATCTATGGTCAGCACCATGGAGGGTTTTCCTCTTCAACTCACAAAGTTGTTTGTTTCATGATCCCCAAAGTGGGATATGCTAAGCTGTAGAAAATCTGGCAAATCTAGAAAAAATTAGAACTGGAGGAAAACTACCCCTAATCCCAACAGCTAGGTAAATGCTATTAACATTTCAGTACCTTTCCTTTCAATTTGGCATAGATGTTAGACAGCAGTGCTGTGATTTAGATCTAAAAAGTCCCCCTAAACTTCTACTATGTGGGAGATGACTGGATCGAGGGGGGCTCCAACAATGGATTGATTCATCTGAATCTGAATCCTGGAGGCGGGGCCTGGCCTGGTCCCTGGGGGAGTCTGGGAAGTGTGTCACCTCATGCCCAGCTCCTGCCTTCCTCTCTTCCTGGCTGTCCTGAGCTGAGAACCTTCTCCCCAACCAGGGCCCTGACATCTTGCTTCTGCACTGGAGCCCGCCAATCATGGACTGAAAGCCTGAGCCAAATCAAACCTCTTCTTTAAGTTTTGTGTACCTGGTATTTTGTCCCAGCACCAAGAAAGTGACTAAGATACTGTCTTAGTGCCACTGTCCTTATGATATGCAGAACGAAGTCATCCTCTATATGTGCTTTTCTGTAATTTTTCTGGATTCCTACGTCTGAGCATCGTGTAGAGCCCTATCTGAAAATAGAATTGCTAGCAGCTGCACACTATTCCATTCTAGGCATTACCAAAATTTAGTCAATTTGCTCAGTTTTTTTTTCCTCCCACAATTATCTGCTGTTATACAGTAACATTTTGATGAAATATCTTGTTCATAAACCTTAGTACAGGGGCCAGGGAGATGGCTCAATAGAATAAGCGCTTGCCTGGCAAGCGCAAGGGCCTGAGTTCAATCCCCGGTTCCAGGGGAAAAACAAAAACAAAAACAAAAACTTTCTTCAGGATACATGCATGGGTTAGAGAGCTTCACACATTTTGCCTAATGCCT